TTGTTTATTTTTCATTTTTTGAACTGGGACCCTGTATTATTTATATCTATGTTTACTAGTTTGCCATCCTCTTGTCCAATGCTTGACTCTTTAATGCCTCCTATAAACCAAAGGAATAACGGAAAAGCTTATCTGCAAGTGCAAATGCAGGAAACAAAATACTCTAGCCTAAAATCTACAACTAGAAGCACGCTGCATAACTTTTTCAAGATAAACATGCCTTGCCCTCAAATATCAGATTGTTCCCATTGGCTGCACCACAACTTAAGTAAATATGCTCTCCAGGCGTGACCGAATACCATCTAGTCTGTGCCGAGCCTGGGATCAGGGTTGCGTTGGTGTATCCAGGCTTTACGTTGAAACTGCACCTGATATTTGCATTCCTTTGTCTAAACCAAAGAACAGACTCACATTTTTGCACTGCATGCACTTCAGTTCATCGAGTCCAATTTCAAGCAAACCCAGGCTTGAAAATAAAAACGTATTGACTCACATTTCTAGTAATCCATCATCCTGTGAGGTTACAGAGTTTGGCAGCACTCACAGCTGATCCCAATGCTTTTAACTGTAATTAAGCATGCTGGCTTGTCTGTGCCTTTTTGCTGTATTTCACCCTCTCCACTGCTGCCTGTACCAGTTTGAAAAAACATGAAAAAATGCCGAATACGAGCATCATTCCAGACTGTGGTTTGTTTTGGGTTAATGTTGTTATGCTAGGCTTTTCAAGCATAAAGCACAGCAGGCTGTCACATGCCAATGCTGGTCTCCTTATACCCATAAACCCTTGCATTTTGGGGTCATTCCTTGTAGTTGGTCTGGAGTACATTTTCATTCTGAACAAACCACGCAGTGGGCGTCCTGGAAGAGAAGTCTGACTCATACTTTCTGGCATCTCTGGCCAGTAATGGTATTGTTCTCACCTGCCTAGAACTAAATTCTCTAGTGTTGTGAAAACATAGAGACACACACGCACATGCTTGCGTAAATGCCACTTTTCTCACCAGCTCCTGCTCCAGCTGACCGGTTCCCAGATAGAGGGAGGCCATCACCACCCGCCTCTGTGCAGTCTTGATGCGAGCCTACGGTAAAAGGAGAGGAAAAAAATACAAATAAGGAATCCCAACAGTGAATGTGAGTGCAAGTCTATGTGGGCGGGAGCTGATACTAGGAAATGATAACGTATTCACAGGAGTTACATTTCCCGTAGCCACATGCAGGCACCTGGCCTAGGGCACAAGGAAAGAAAGCAGTTGTAGTGCAATCATGGGACTGACAAATAAGGAAAGGAAACAGTGTTTATGGTGAAAAAAAATAATCTCCCAACTGTCAGTAATTTTAAAAAA